GGTCTCCCTTCCATGGTCTCTCCTGGCTCCTGTGGGAAGTCCTGCCTCCTGCCTTCACGTCTGCCCTTCCCACAGGTCATTTTCTTGGCGCCGACATCTCCCAGCTGAAATGTGACATCCTGGGAGGTGCAGACCGTGGGTTTCACAAAAAAGCTGGTGAATAGTAAGTGCATTTTGGTAAAAGACTCAAGCAGTGCACATGTATTTAATAAAGTGAAAGCGAGACACACACCCCCCGCCGCCTCCTGTCTCATTCCCACCCCCTTCCCAGAGGAAACCACCCACGAGCATTGGGCGGGGGCCCTCTGGCCCAACCTGCCAGCCTTTGCATCTGTACGTGGACTTGAGACCTGGGTGTAAATTTTCTAGCTAGCTCAGTGTGCCGCTAACTGGGGCCCACCCACACAGTCAGCTGACTTGCCATTTTAATGCAACATTAGGCTTTTAAGGTTTCTCTCCATCAGTATATATATTGGTCTACCTCTCAAAAAAAAAAAATGCCTCCGAGGATTCCAGCGTGTGGGCCCCGCCATAATTTATTTAAACCATTTTCCTATTTATGGGCACTTAGGTTGCTTCCAGTGTTTTAAAATATTGCCACAATGAAATCCTCATACAGGGTCGTTCATTTCATACATGCGGGATCCTCCTGGAAGCGGCGTTGCTGGGCGAAGGACGTGCACTTTTAAATTTTTGATGGAGAAAGCTGAATTGCTTTTCAGAAAGGACTCATTGGGACTCCACTTAAAAAAAAAAAAAAAAGACATTTTTTTAAAAGGAAAAAACCAGTGCAAATGGAATTCACCACCAGCAGCCAAATAGAGCGGCACTTACTTAGGCGGCAACTGTGCAGTGTGGCCGTCCAGACAGGCCAAAGGCCTAGGCAAAGGGTCACAGGGTTCCTAAGGTGTCCTGTGCTGTCTCCTCGCCGCCCCCAGCCCCAAATAAAAGAGCGGTCCCGGGAATAGAAGTTGAAAGGACAGAATCCTGAGAACTGACTGACGTCCCTCCATTTGGTGGGTCTGGGAGGGATGCCCTGCAGCCGGTGGCCCTCCCCAGAGTCAGGAGAACCGTCCTCCTCCAGGGCTGCGGCCCAGGCCCTGCTTGCACTGCATTCTGGGAGAATCCCTTGGCTCCATCATCTGGTTCAGCAGGCGGCTCCTCGGTTGTGTCCGTTCTTACGTTTAGCTCGCTCAGTATCAGCTACCATATTTTTGAAAATTAATAGGATGAATGTTTCTCAGCAGT